GCCTAAAGCAAAACTTCCACTGATGCCAATAATGTTACTGTTATTTCTGTCTAGCCTCTATTTGCCTGTTTCAATATTTGCTGTTTCTTATAGAGCCACCTTGTAATGTCCTGGATCAGAGCTATTCATTGCTTTACTTGTTTGTATCCGATGCTATTTCTCATTGTCTCAAACATAACAACAATAGTTTTATTAATCTGCATCGGTTTTAAAAATTCAGTTACACAACAGTACTATTAAACTGTTTAAAGAATTTTTCGAATCATGTTTATAAATAAATACGTATGATGTTTTCTGTGTTGCGGTTAAATTTAGGTGATCCATCCAACAAACATACCGTCATATTATCCAGGAAGACTGCTAGCATCCCAGATGTGCTCTTTGGGACGGTAGAAACAGCATGGGCTAAAATAATTGATAATCTGCATGATTTCAAAACATGCTGTAGTTCTTTAGCAGTACAGGATTGGTGTAATATACCTACTAAATATACTATAGGTATAATATACCTAACATTGGTATAATATACCCCAAAAGCACTCCTATTATAGGGAGAACTTAAGTGGTCAAACCACACTCGTAAAAGCAGCACAGCTCCTCCAGTTAAAAGTGATGATACCAGGAAAATCAGTTTCTGTCAGTGCAACATCTCCGTTAGGGGCATCTGTAAGCACAGCTGTGCTGTTCTGGAATCCCATTTCTTCACAGCCACTGAAAGCCTGAAACGCAGCTCTAACCTAACATTTTGAGGAGCTCTGTGCCATCTTTAGAAAGATGCAAGTCTGTCTTGAAAATCTGGATAGAGAAAAAGAGGCTGCAAATATATCCACTTAAATTTCAATAGATTTTTGAGATTCTTTTGTTCTACACATAAAAATGGAGGACTAGAAATCAATTCCCTTCAAGGCAGGAAATGTGAGATAGAAGCCAAAAATATGACAAACCATTTGACTGTAATTAATCAAATAGCGTTACCATTTTTTTCATTTAAACATTATCTATAAAACCCCAAAACATACTAAATAATATATGTGCAATACATTCACAAAGTAAATTATTTAATGTTAGCATTATATCATGATCACTCCCAACCCCACCCTTTCAGTTAAAGGACCATCAGTGCTTGTTATTAATCCAGAGGATATGCTTCTCATGTTCAGTGACCCAGTTCCAAGAAGTATCACAATATAGAAGCCTATTTTCCACTTAATAAACATGCATAATTCCTGTGAACATTAGCACTGATTATGCACACTTACACACTCTAGGGCATATTCATCTAAACCCAGTGAATTCAAAAGATCTAAAGGAAAATGTATTTGGCCCTCTAGACTGCAAGAAACCCTAAAGAATGACAGGAACAGTCCAGAATGTTTTATTGGTTTATTCAGTTTTAACAACAATTTTGTATATTAATTTCTTCAGCTCTCTGCCCACAATGCTAATGATGTTTTATGTAAGGTAAAAGAATGAAGGACTTTTTAGGATAGAAAAAAGGAAAATGAAGAAAGCAAGCAAGGATTAAGCTTAATGGCTAGGATATTCTCTCTGAAGGTGGAAATTGTAGGTTTCAGCCTGTCTGATGGTACTTATCACTATTTCCTGCAGAAAAAAAGAGATTATTTGGGATATTGCCAGCAGTCCAGAAGGTCATATTCCATCACAGGTATAGCAATGAGAGGGTGTGCAGTGCAGATTCAAAATTTTTACAGGGACATCATAATTGATTCAGTTTCCTACAGTTTGATGAGTACTTAAACTACTACGGTAAAGATAAGGCATTCACATTATCTTAATTACTTATGAGAGAAAGAAAAAGGAGTCCAGTCATTGATTTTGCTTTGACTTCTAATGTCCTAGATAGTTCTCTGCAGGAGAGGTCATTTAGATCTCTGTGGCTCTGGGCCTACAGTATATGAACAATTCTTCAATAAACTATTTTAAAAGCTTCTGGAACATTCACCTCACTCAGGACCATGGAGGAAAACAGGAGGCCTAATAACTTTCTACAGACTCTGGATCCTGTGAAGAAACTATCCACCCAAAAATGTACCAACGTCTTTAATGAACCTGTTGGATGGCATACAATGCTAATATGCAACCTGCTTATTTCAAAAAGGTGTTCTGGATTAATTATTTTTATAGACACTTCCACTAAAAGGCTGCTAATAATTTTTCTGTAGAGTCTGTTTGTATAACTGCTATTTATTTTAAGCACTGCATGATTTGTATTCATAATGGAAACTTCAATAGCAAAAGCTTCCAAGCCAAGCTAGAGTAATTTCCCCTTTAGTCAATACAGTCTTCATCTACAACAGTACAAATGATGCAAATGTGTAGAGTGGAAGAGTTAGTGTTGAGGACCTGACATCCACATCACACGTGTTCTGGATGTTTTATTTCAGGCCAACTCTAGTTTATTAGTAGGCATTAGATAAAGAAATAAATTGTGATCCCAGGACACATATTCTAGTTACATTTAATCTGAAAAGACGCAGTTTCTGTGCCCCAAGATTGCAGTTTCTGTGCCCCTCCTGTAATTATAATGGAAGAGAAGTAAGTGGACATAACCACGAAAATCACCTCAAAATATTGCCCCTGATATAATCTAAAATGTTTTTGCTCTTTAAGATGAGGATATTTTCTACAGTGTGTGTGTAAAAGAAGAGTTTTCTTTGCATCTTAGATGACCAACACCCTTTTATCAATAACACATGGAAGTGCACTGAACAACTCTCATGAACATAGCAACAAAGTCATTTTAAGAAAACGTAAACCTGAACTGAAGGTAAGTCTTGTATTTCTTTTCCAAATACACTGATTTATGGAAATCTTCTTCAATAAAATCCAGTTCAGTCCAATAGATAAATGTCATCCCTCCCAACTATAAGTTCACGCAGAGGAATTACTAATCGATACAAGCTTCATGTATTTTCACCCTGAATATGCATTAAAGGAACTGAAATGCTGTAAATGTAACCATAATGATCTGGGTCTCCTGCTGGTGGCTCCTCCTGAAAAGATCAAATCTCACATGTGGGGTTTTGTCTGCAGCCAGCAGCAGGGTCAGGCATAGAAGATGCCACCATAGCCAACATTCCTCAGGGAGCCCAGGGTTGTGATTTTACAAGAATTTCTATGGCAGAAGGAGAAGTAAAGGTCTGGATTTACTACAGTTAATTGTATTTCTTCTCTGAAAAAGTAGTATTTCACCCTGTACATGGATAGACATTATATGCAGAATGACAATAAACTGGACTAAATATACGAGAGTACCATTACAGAGCAGATTTCAAAACCTGTAACTACCAAAGAGTCTGGAACTTCTGCGTCAGCACCAAAGCAAGGGAGGCAATCTTATTTGATGTGCATATATAAAAATATGAGGCTATAAACTAAAAGTCAGATATTGCAGCTTAGTAAGACTATAGAGCGGTTTCCAAATTTCAAGAGCAAAATACTGCTGTGCTCTTCGTGTTATTTTTTGCACTACCATTTTTGTAAACATGATATTGAATTTACTCCCTGATATTTCTTCATGAGTAAAGTATCTTGTGAAGTATCTGTGAACACTTCAAACACCCCTTTGAAGGCAGGAAGTTCTAACAGTTGAGAGCTATTTTCAGAAGATATCTTTCCCCACAACATATAAAATCATAAAAGAAAACAAAATTTAATCCCTTTACTGCAATTTACCAAAAAGAAAATAATGATGTTAAGCATGTGACATACTTTATTAGGAAATCATATTTTGTAAAGACCATTTACTTTCCTCAGAAACATGTATGAGAAATGATTAGACGTCTGGTCTTGCTGGATGTGCACTGCATACTGTTTAAAATGGAAGCTATAAATTATCAGTCAATAACAAGCACAAGACCTGAGGCAGTAAAAATTCTTTCATCTGAAAATAACAGTTATTACAAAGTCAGTTGTTTCTTAAAATAAGGATGAAGCCATAAATATTAAAATACGAGGACAGAAGCTTATTTATGTAAGCTGGAGTTAGCAGTTTTGTTAGACCATTCATTAGAAGGAAAAAGGGGGTAGGTAATAATTTACAGACTGATCTGGTTCAAGGCTGAAGAAATTTAGGGAAGGACTGTAGCATGCATTTAAGGGAAAAGACAGTCCCACTTGTCTGCAGAAATTGTCAGTGTGCTCAATGTTAATTATTTACATTTGAAAGGCTTTTTAAATTTTTATTCAGCCTCACATTGTATTTATGAACTGTTCTGATCCTACCGTTCATCATCACCATCCAATATTTTTCCTAATTAAAATTACTTTGAAGACTCTGACCTTTAGGCAGACACTCAATTCTGAACTAAAATATAATTATCTTTGTAACATGAATACACTTCTTATACTGCCCCCATGTTCTTCTTGTTACAGAAAATATAATAATAAATATAAGGAAAAGACTACATTGAACTTGATAAAATAATGAAAAATAAGAAGAAAATAAACCAAGCAGACTGGTTTTCCTTTCCTATACAACAAGAGCAAAGAGACATCAAGGAAAAAATAAAGGCAATACTTAAAGTTTAAAGAAATCCTTTGTGCACAGTGCATAATTTTTCTGCAGGACATACTGTCATGAAACTTCACCACTTCTGAAACCAAAAGGAGGATGGAATTTTATATGAGTAGGTCCAGCACTCACATGGTTTATATTCCAGTGGTATTACACGGGTACAGCACCATTTATTGAACAGGAACACAACCACTCTTTGAAGGTGAAAGAGGCACATAAATTACAGAGTGCAATTTCTTGTGAATAAATCACAGCGTTTTTATTAAACTTTTGGTTCTGGTCACTGTAGCTATATAAATCGCCAGTGTGATGAGGGTGGCACTTCCTATTTATCTCATTGTCTTCACCGTTGCTTCTCATAGCAAAGGTATTTGTTAGTCTAAATGACTGACCATATGTTTCCTTTACATTACTTTGCAACCTTTTCTATGGTCAAATAATAGGAACTTAAGAAATAACTTACCTTTACGTAGAGCTGCTGAAACTCCTCAAGGTTCAGTCTACCACTTGGACAGTCCTTTAGAAATCCTTTGTACCACTGTTTCAGCTCGTGTTCATTGAACTCCGTGCTCTTCACCAGATCCTCCATCACCTCAGGGGCCAGCTTGCTATTCTGTTTCCCCATTCTGCCTTAAGAAGGAATAAATTAATACAATTAGCCAAATTGCTGTGAACATTTTAAATTCGAATTAGCGACAAAGCTTGAACACATCACTTGTTTTGTACACGCTGCTGCTTTTAGTCAAACTCATCTTCATGGATTCAGTTGTGAATCAGAACCTAAGCTATGCTTGAATATTATTAGATGCTTATAATGGTTAAAAAGAAAACATTCATTTGGGAGTCTTAAGGCCTGAAGAGAGACTGCTCCTTTGCCTTCAAATTAGGTAATTTCTAGCTTTTCTTTACACTAAGGCTGAAAAAACATGATTTTTGCTGTGAATTTAACAAAAATTTTCACAGATTTGGGGATGTTCACAGAATTCATCTTTGTCTTGAGAATCTTTTCTGATACCACACCCATGTTAGCAGCTACTCCTCACAGGTACAAGGCTGTGGACAGACAGGCTTGTAACATACAGCACTAGATGATCCACTGGGAGGAAGCAATACAAGAGAACACACTTGGTCTCAAGAAATGACGAAACCAAACTGGAAAAACAAATGTAATTCTTATACAATTGCACATATATGTGTATATATACACATATGTATACATATAAGTAGAATTATATGCATATAGTTACTGCATAGTTGATACACAATAGTTGATTTATAGTTCATCACTGTTAACTCTGGAGATATCCACTACATTTGTTATATACATTTTGTATCCACACCGATAAATATCAAATATAAACCATACAGAAATACAAAATATGCATGTGTAAATATAGTAATTTCAGTACTATTCATGTTGGCCCTTTGAGATATTTCCAGGTCCTTTGATGTGTAACCACAGATGACCTTCGAGAGAAATTTTGAGAAATCTTTAACTTTTTCCAATTCTACTACAGTTTGTTTAATGACAGATATCTTTCAGTTATTTTTTAATCAGATGACAGACAGCACTTAACTTGTCCTGTACAAAACTGCAAAGTGATGAATAATTTCTTTCCTGAGCCTAGCTTAGCATTTCCATTTTTATCTCCCAGTATAGCATCTGTCTCTAATGACAGCACCACAGTGAATGCAGTGATTTCTAGTCCATATCACCACCCATTCCTGATATTAATCTATTGCTTTTGGCATTTCCCCCCATTTTGAAGGGGAAGTTTCTTTCTCCTCGGAAGGACACACTTTGCTCTGCTCCAATGAATCAAAATATTTATATAAGTTCCTTTATGGGAATCTTCCTTGAGCCAGCACAAAATTAACCATTCCTCCTGGTCTGTGTGGCAAAAACATCCCCTAGTGCCATACCACCAGTGGCACCAGGTCTCTTCCTGAAACACCTCATGGCCCCCCTTCTCTTTGGTCATAGTCCTCCCCAGCCTGTCCCCATCTTCTTCCCCATCCCAAGCCCAGCAAGATAACCAGGGCTGATAGCAAACCTCTTTGCCAAGACAGCACATGGCTTAGCCACACAAACATCCCTGACACCGAGAAGGAAGATGTCTTTTGTCAAAGCATTCAGCAGGTATAAAGTTAGGAAATTTGGTCATCGGAAGATACAAAATGCCACAACCCATCAGGCTAGAAACTCCATCCAGAAATGTCTCAACACCTTGGTGACACGGCTGTTAGACAAGTGCACTGTGCTGTGCACAGATATAACTGGAGGTGGAAGTGGGCCACCATTTTCTTGGGATGCTTCCAGAAAGCAGATCCCCCTTCCCCAGGCTCTGCACATCTTTCCTCTACCAACACTGCAAGATGCCGCAGTGCTTTCTTGCTCGAGGCCCTGCATCTCCTCTGAACTACAAGAACCTGCTGCAAGAACTCACACAGCTGTTCGTTAATTAAGGGCAGTACACTGCTTTCTCTAAATTTACTTACTTTGATGCTCTGCCAAGCTCCCATCCACACGTTTTAGTAAATTTAGCACAAATATGGGAGAGTTCAACCTTTCAGTTAATTGCCACAGGCGTAATTGTACACGCAGATGTCCAGAAATTAGCCATTTTGACTAAACGATGGGTTTGCAATTTATAGTATTTAGAACAATTGTCCCAGCCTTATCTTTGAAGTCCCCATCTTCTCATGTATGACACAGACCTAATTTGGCATAATCTCAATTTAAATCCCATGGAGACTAAAGTAAACTAATAAAGTTATTTCTCTAGCTTCCTCCAATGGCTTTTAAGTGAAACAATAGACTGTTTGGGGTTTTTTTTAATCTTTAAGGGGCTTATTTATTCCCCCTTTTTTCTCCTTTAAACTGTGTTACCATTTGCAGTCATAAGATGCTTTGCTTAGGACCCAGAGGACCCTTAAAGATTCTCAGCAATTATAGTAACTACTTTAGGTAAATTCATAAGGCATCTTCTGGCTCTCTTAATTTAGCCAAGTGTGCTTTTACATGACTCTTTTCACCTGGATTCTTGACACCATCAATATTTAACTCAACAACACTTACACATGAAAAAAAAGCATCTTCAATGGGCAAAAATCGGGTGGTCTTGACCAACAAATTTTCTGTAATAGCTATTTTTCTGTATTTATCGTGCTTGTACCTGGCACTACACATAGGTGGAAGCAGACAGAACTGTGAATCTCAGCACTATCTTCCAAAGTTAGCTATGTTGTTTTCAGTAACATGGACATAAAACACTATGGAAAATGGAGCGGGTCTTCACGTATGTAAAAATACACGAATAAAGAGCTGGGTAAACATATCCACACATAACCTTTTCTATCATCAGATTCAGAGAAATAAGACACCAGTTTTCTGCTTGTATGGCACAGGCTCTTAGTTTTGGTCAGCTGCTTGTTCTGCCATACATTGTGCAGTAAGTTCCAAACACCTTCCAGCCATCCCTGATGTACCTCACCATATAATAGCCGTTAGTAAATGAAAACCACAGCTGGCATCTTGATAAACACTTTCAGAAACTACTTTTTCAACAGAACCAAACCACTATTTGAGGAAGGTATAATGTGGGACTGCTGGGTTCTGTACTCTTATTTGCTGCTCCAGAACAGTACAGTGCATAATCCCCCAGGCTCTCTTTGAGACAAGGGCCTGAACAAGCTGACCGAGCTGGTCACAATGCCTTCCTGGAATAAGAGGCATTCATTCCTTCTTCTTGTTTTAAAGTTCTTTTCTTATGGAATTGAATTACAATATGCAAGAAAGCTCAAGAGTCTCATATAATTATCAAATATAAACTCACACTTCTGGCTCAGGGAGATCCAACTTATTTGGGAATAAAAACTCAAATACATAGATTATCTAGTTAATCATATTCTAACATTTCTAGAGTTTCATTGAATCTCTTATTATTATTGAAAAAGTACAATCACCCATTAGCAACGAGTATGCCACTGCCAACACATTTAATTTTCTAAAATGAAAACTATTTTTAATTAACTTATAATCATGGTTTCCCAAACATGTTTTTTCCTTGTGAAAATCTATGAATATGCATTAGGAAAATGCAGGAGAGAACAGCTGCACATTCACTAAGTTTTCATGAGGAGGAAAGGTCACTTTGCAAGCATTTCTTTGTTTAGTAAATGTTATTCTTTTAAACTATAAATTTGCTTCCAACTTCCATGCTTTCAACCATGCAGTGCAGCAATCTAAGGACCGTTATTCATCTTCTGTTGCGTCTTCTGATTGACAAAAGTCATGAAAGGGGGAAAAAAAACAAAACAAAACAAAACCCACCAAACAAACAATAAAACCCACACTAAAAAAAGCTCAACATGCTTCAATTCCAAACCATCATAGGGGAATGATTCAAAATAAACAAGGAATCAGGTACATGGGTGGCACTTAGCATCAGCAAATGTGTCAAGACTATTCCCAATGAGATTAGTCTGTCAGGAGAATGCTTCTTAACATTAGCAAAGGCAACACAATCCAAATTAGAGACCAAGAAAAACACTAAAACTCTACTGTTGTGTCAAAGTAGCAACAGCAATGAAGGTTGAGTTTAGAAAGACATCCTCTTGGCTGAAATGCTGCAAAGACGCCATCATCTACCCTCAGAAACAAACTCTTCAGAAATGCTTAGTATAGTAGTACTTCAGTACTTCATTAAGTAACACCTTAATTGATGCTTTTACAGGTCCACAGGAGGGTCACATTTAAAAGATGGAATTTTTTCAACCAACCAATCCCCAACCTGAAGTAATCCAGGCTGTGCCAGCAGCAGGCAGGGACAATATGAGGATGTACTCGCCTGCTCCTTGCCCCGCTGGACCTCCGGAGGTCCACACGAGCCAGCCTGGGAAGCAGGAAAGGGCTGCAGCAGCAGCTGGAAGTTACTCTAACATGACTCAGCAACATGGCTTAGCAAACTGATTTTGTGATTTACTAGGGGCTTTGGAGGTAACAGTCACATGCAGGAAGAGGAAATCAGTTCCTCCCATTTTTCTCTGTATCATGAGATGAGTATGCATGAAACACACATGCTTGTGCTGTTTCAAAAGCTCCCTGCTCTCCACATGAGCATCATCCAAACCTCCTGGCCAATGGCAAGCTTTTTTCCCCTGGAATATTTTATATCAATTCCTGCACAGGTTTATCAGATCTGCCTCTCCCACTTGGCTTGCTAGTGTGAGCACAGTTTTACGAACCAAAATTTTATTAAAGACCTAAGGAAAAAAAAAGTTCAATAGCAAAACATGAGTTATGGAACATTGTTTAATTTCAAAACAGCTCCAAACTGTGGCTAACACAGCTTCATTCCCATTTGCTCCCTCTTTCCCCTCCTCTCCATTCCTCTTTGGCCTCCTCGGCAAGTGTTCAATATTCAAAGGGACCAAGTGCAAACAAATACAACTCTGGCTGTTCCTAAGGAAAAGTAAACTGAGTGCTGCCGAAGATCTCATATTTATCCTGAAAAAGGACCTGAATTCCTTTGCGAAGACAGCACCAACAATGTCAAACCATGTTCCTAAAAACCCAGTTCTGTGTCGTTTTGCTTGCTTTCCTTAAACACATTTATATAAAACCATTT